AGTTCTTGGTACATGAATTTTGGTACATGAATTTTCTTGCTCTGTTTTCTTCCAAGCTTTGTTTCATTGTGAATTTTGGTACATGGATTTTCTTTCCATGCCCATTACTTCTTGTTCTGGACTTGTTAACAGTGGAGTTGTCTACAAAGAGGTCCAGTAGACTTGTTAGTAATGGACCTCTCATTCATGTAAGAAAATGAATGATAAAATTCAGTATGTAAAAAAAAATGTAAACTTGTTAGTAATGCATCAACATGCTGAAATGTGTTGTGTTTTTGGAAGAAAAATCAACCTATTGAAATGATGAATTGAAGGCATATGTGAGAATTGAAAGTGTATGATAAAATGCCTCAATGAAATGTTTTGTGCTTCCATGGGCCATTTCACATTATTATTGTTGTTTTTGTTTTTGTTTTTGATGACTAATGTACTACTTATTTATGAAAATGCTACTGTTAGGAGTAACATGTCAATGGCTTACACCTCGACTAGTTCAAGCAATGATGGTCGCCTTTTTGAAAATCGACGTTGCAAATGTGAGAAAAAAGCAGCCGTTAAGATATCAAACTCAGTGAAAAATCCAGGGAGGCTTTATTTCAAGTGTGCAGATGGCAAATGCGATTTCTTTGCATGGTGGGCGTCTACTAGCCAACATGGCAATGCAACGGATATCCAATGGAGGCCTAATCCTAGTCAGAGGAACAATGAAGATGACTGGAAGAATGATGCTGAAAGAAACTATGAAGCTTTGGACAAATTGGAGCGAAGATTGGAGCGAAGATTGGAGCAGCTTGAGGCAAATGTAGGAACTATGAAATTCCTTACAATGGCAAGCATAGTGTGTACTGGTTTTAACATGCTAATGCTTGTAATTTGTTTAATGTTAAAATGAATGTCGTAAACTTATACATTTGGGTGTACAAGTTATTATGCTGGTTTTGTAAGGAATTGAACCTTCTATGGCAAAGCAACAATGGAGTTTTTGTTTGGTTGTAAATGTTATTGTGCTGGTTTTGTGTTCTTCTCCTTTTGGGTTATATGCTCAAGGAAGTAGCTTAGAGGCTGCCTTGTCTTATTTTTGAACTGAAATTCTGAAATAAAGAAAGGAAAAAATGGTGTAAACAAAAAGATTCTGAAAAACCAATTTAATATGTGAAGGATTTAATTTATATATTATGGTGTGATATTTAATTTATATATTATTGTGCCTCTGATCAATGATCATCACATCTAACTTCAATCATCTGTTATTATTATCATGAATCATATTTGAGTGATATGTAGAAGAGGCAGATGGTAGGAGTTTTGAAGTTGTTTTGGATTTTGTTCTAATACAATCTAAAAATCATAGGTAATGCCACCTTCATTTCATTATTATTTTCTAATCTAATCTCAGTGCTCCTGGGTGGGCTATGTGGATCAAGTTCTGTGAATTTACAGAGATAGAAAGAGAGATGCCAAGAACTTGTACCCTTAAAGAATGCTGGACAACAATCACCAATTGGCTCAAGACATGCAGAATGGTCCAAAAAATTTGCATCATTCTCAAGCCAAAAACCCAGAATAACAGCCAAACATGCACAGGCCAAGAGCAAGTAACCAATAAAGAGGAAATGCATTCATACTAAAAAATTCACTGCTCTAAAAAATTCACAGCTCTAAAAAATTCACAGCACCTAAAAACAGGAAATGCATTAAAAAGAGATTATGCATTCAACCTTTCCCCCAAAAATTCATTGCTCTAAAAACATTTATCCAGCAAGAAGACAAGCTGTTCAATAGGGAACCTAAACACAACATAGCACAGCACAATATGAGACAGCACAACACAGCACAACGCAACACAGCACAACAGATCCGCAGCAGCACAGAACACAGCAGAACAAAGCCTATAGCAGCACAGCAGAACAGCAGGCAGCATAGCAGATGAGGATCAAAGTATAGCAGTGCAGCAGATGCTCAGCAGAGTAGAAAAGTACCAACCAGGAAGCTATGCTCAGACCTGTAACAGAACTTGACAAAACAGCTCCATATGAGACTTGATTGGATCCAAAATCACTTTAAACTATATGAGACTTGATTGAAAGTTTACAAAACAAAGTCTTACAATAACTACTAAAAAACTAGAAATAGAAAGGGGCATTTGGATCCACATCTATATTCAACTCAATAAATTTTGAACCAATTGGTCCACTTTGACTGCTTATATTGGTGACCATTTGTGAATGACTAACAGATCCGCTTCCAATATTATCCATCATTTGCATTGGGCTACCTTGTGCCTATTCAATGACAAAGTAAATAATATGAAGAAATTCACAAATATATCTACAAATGAAAATAAGGAAAAAAAATTTCATGTCATATGTTTAAAACATACCGGTACGTACATACTCTCCTGTGTGCCATCAATACACGGACTCGCTTGCATTCCATCCATAGAAGCAAAATTCAACTTACGACCCTATAGGAACACACATTGGTGAGTGATTGAAGTAAACAAAATTCTGAGATTTACATATCAAACAAAATAAAAATTTTACCTGTACTTTTGATGCCCTTTTATTCTTCCCCTTCAACCGATTTACTATTTCATCCACTTTGCTAACTTTCCGTTTTGTACATGGACGACCTCTTCGGCGAGCAACCATAGGACTAAGCACCTTGTGAGTCATGCTTGCATTTGTAGAACTACGACCGGCCTGAGTTTTGGGGGAAGTATTAGAAGGTTGGACAGTACTAGTAGAATGTGGGACACTACTAGTAGAAGGTGGCAAATTACTCGCACAACCGGCCTCAACCTGTCTCACTCTATCCTTGATTTCTATTAACCCAAGTTGAATGACTTTGTGCTTAGCATCATCGTTGGAAGCAATTTCTATAATTTCATCCATTGCCTTGTGGTAGTTATCATGCACCTTTGCATTCAAAACAGCCCCATATGTACTGTATGTGGTAGGAATGCATGTGTACCCTCTTTCCAAATCTTTTCTCCATCTCGGCACAATATATTTATCCGGAACCTCATATGTGGACATCTCAAGGAGCACACTAAGTGAATGGGCACACATAATGCCCCTAAATTCAAACCACCGACACATACATTGGATGTCACATTCTATGCAATTACAGTACACAACAAATTCCACTTTCTTCATTTGCTCACCAACTGGAATAGCCTCTTTCACATGATAAGTACAAATTGATCCTTTTTCTTCCACAAGAGTCGCACGACAATACAATAATCGTTTCATTTCTGCTTGAACCTCTTTAAATTTTGCGTTTGTGTATGCTTCACGAAATTGCTTCTCAAAAGCATACATCGTTAGGCAATCATACAATTTGTTTCGAGATTTAAAATCTGCTTTGGCCTTTTTCTCTACCTTACTTCTCAAGGCATTGTCATACTGCTCAACAAATTGCTTTAAAGTAGTTTTCGAGTTGACATATCCATCAAAAAATGGATTCATACTCTCACTTCGTTGTGTGGTTGACATACCAGCCCAAAACATGTCTTTCACATAGGCAGGAATCCACCTATGTCGCTCATCATATAATCCCCCCAACCAATCGTTATCATGTAGACCAAACTTTTCAATCATTGCTTGCCATTCTTTATCAAATTCATTTTTTGTGAAAGACTCATAAACTTCCTTTTGCAAAGCAAACTTTATGGATTCATATTCCGAATAGGCTCTCAATTTTTCTGGAATTTTCTTCATTATATGCCATAAACACCAACGATGTCGAGCCTGTGGGAAGACAACTTGTATGGCATTTTGCATAGCTTTGCACTGGTCAGTTATTATAGCATTCGGAGGAGTGTCTGACATGCAACTTAACCAAGCTCTGAATAGCCATACAAATGTCTCGGTGTTCTCATTACATAATAGCCCACAACCAAACAAAATTGACTGCCCATGGTGATTAACTCCTACAAACGGAGCAAATGGCATGTCATATTTGTTTGTCAGATAGGTTGTGTCAAATGTGACAACATCTCCAAATGCGTTATAAGCTGCCCTACTCCTTGCATCTACCCAAAATAAGTTCCGCAAGCGTCCTTCTCCATCAAAGTCCATTTCAGAGTAGAAGTTCGAATTTTGTTGTTGCATCCTATGAAAATAAAACGCAACTGATTCGACATCTCCTACTCCAAGCCTCAATCTTCTAGCCTTGTCCATGTGATTCCTGGCATCTCGTTCGTCAAATATTAATGCCTCAAATCCCCCCGCTTCAACAACCATAGAATGAAAATTCCTAGCCACTCATATCCCTGCCTCATCATTTATTTCTAATCTTCTTTTCACAGGAGTTAGAATTCTCTTATTCATAGCAAAATGCCGTGAGTCACTAGGAACCAAGTCGTGAGTATGCTCCAGCACAACGGTTGTCAACTTATATGTTCCATCCTTTTGTAGACTCCCTCTTAGTTTTGCTTTACAATCATTTTTAGATGACAAAGATGGTTCTAGCGGGTTCACTTCCGATCTTTTTATTCTCATCCTTGCTCGAGTACATTCAATTCCGAAGTATTTTAGTTCCCCATCATTACCAAATTTTTGTGTTCCATAAGCTATAGCAAATCCAAAGTGCTTCGCATATTTTGCATAAAATGCATACACTTCTTGCTTTGAAGTAAAACACATCCCCTGCTTTGGTTCTTCAACTTCACCACTCTCAGGTTCTTCAACTTCTTGACTAGGATTGTTTGAACCTTCCATCCTTTTGTTGCTAAAATGAAGCTTCTAGGTTAACAATTCAAAACATTTGAAACAAGAACTAATCAAAAACATGTGAAACAGAATTTTGATGGGACAATAAAAAATTATCACATATAAAATTCAGGATATGTATCGATATCGGCAATACAGTCATATGTCATAACAACTTCATTTTCTACAAAATGGATAACAGATTTTGTTATTTGAACAAGTTTATTTTCATAACATTTTTCATAACAATCCATGGAAAATTCACAATGAAACAAAATAGAGCAAGAAACAAAATGGATAATGGATACATATGTAATGGATACATATTCTGTTCAAATGGATACATATTCTGTTCAAAATGGATAATGGAAACATATTCTGTTCAAAATGGATAATGGATACATATTCTGCTAAAGAAAATAATTGATAACATATTCCGTTCAAAAAACATATCTGCATTATCCATTTTGTTAACATATTCTGTTCATTATCTATTTTGTTCAAAAACATATTCTGTTAACATATTCTGATCAAAAAACAAAATTCATAATGGATACATATGTAAACAAAAAACAAAATTCATAATGGGTAACAGATTTTGTTCACGCCATTTGCGCCAATTATATTCGAGGTCTGTAGCAGCTTCGTAAAAATTCACATCATATACACAAGCCTAAGACAAATAATTATCATAACTCATTTCTAACCCAAACTTAACAGGAAACTGAGGCCAAAACAAAACAAAAAAATGTTAAAAAAAGAAATTAATCAAACCAAAAATTGGACAGGGTAGTATGTATGTCCATGATAAAAGTTTCAACATTTATTTTCCTTAGGAAATTAAAAATAATTTTTTGTCACAAGTTCATTCTCTTGTCAAGAATTCATCATAAGAACTTGTTCAATGGGTATGTGCATTTGTAATTTCCTGTTGCTAAGTTTAGGCATCTGCTGCTAACTCACAGGTTGCTAACTCACTAGCTATTGCATCTGCTGCTAATTTATCATAGAAGCATGCTCACATGTTGCTAACAAACAATGTAAAGGGCTTGGTGATAACCAAACAAAATTTTTCTATGTGGACTTTCAACAAACACCTAGAATGCATGAATACAAAACACCAAAATCATGTATCAAACAAATTAAAGCAAAGAAAATTTCATGGACCAAGAAAATTTCATGTAACAAACAAAATCATGGACCAAGAAAATTTCAACCAAGGTAAAGCAAAGAATGTGTTTGAAGCAATACCTCGAATCAGTTGCTTCTTGGCCATTGGAGGCTGAAATTTTCAGAGAAACTGGACGATTTGGAGGTTGCTAGACCGTGGTTGATGCTCAACGATGGTCTTCCTTGTCGTCGGTGGCCACCTAGGTCGTCGTCGTCATCGTTGGGGTCAAGCCCTTGGGTCGTGGTCGTCTGCCTCTCTATCTCCTAGATACGCAGATTTGTTCTCTTCAGTCTTCAAGGCTCGTGAGATATACACCGAGTGAGGCGCGTGAAATGTACCCAGAGTTTGAACTGCCAGCTCAATTCGAGGCATTCGCGCCTTAGTTTGTCGAGGTTTGTAGTAGCGTTGTTTATTAATATATGTAATTTTCCAAACCAAACCCTAACCAAACCATTCTCTCTCCAACGCCTCTCTCTCCCTCTCTGTCTTGCAGCTCATCTCTCCCTCCATCTCTCACCACTACTTCCCCTCACCCTCCGCCGCTCCACCACTACTATTGTCGTCTCTGCCATCTCTTTCCACAGCCTCTGCTACGTTGTCAGCAACAACCAAACTTTCTAAACCCTAACCGAAACTGCCTCTCTCTCTCTCTCTCTCTCTCGCTCTTTTCTATTTTCTCTACCTCCATCGTCACTAACACCACCACTTTGGTCGCTATCGCTGACCTCGATCTAGCCATCGACTTCTCTCTCTCTCACAAAACCAGACCTTTTCTCTCTTTAAATCCTCTCTCTCTCTCTCTTGTAGTCGTCAGAGTCGTCATTGACCTCGCGCCGCTGCTTAATACATCGATACTATACATTGCCGAATCTGCAGATCTGAGCTTTTCCGCCTCAAATGCTGTAAATCTATACAATCCCTATTACGATCTAGACGTGAAGAAAGCCTTGAATCGCTATCCTCGAGAGATCGTGGACGACTATCTCCCAATGGTTTGCAGGCATGTCTCTATTTGATTCCCTTGTTTTGACGCTAAAAAAATATAGGAATTTATTGTAAGAAAATTTTCAATCTTATGTTTTATAATACTTTGGTCTCTGTGTTGTTTTTTGTTTTATTATATTTTTCATTGATGATGACATTTATTACAGTCCCTTCTCCAACCAAGATTGGCGACAAATAGCCAAGATCGGCGACAGAGATCCAAGATCATCTTCGATTTAAAGATCTGTTTCCCAAGGATTTCTATCTCTTGATCTTCTTACATCGATCCAGATCTCAATGCTCATGATCATCCTCGATGCTTCTCCCTCAAAACCTAGAACAGATAGGGAATTGATTGTTAGATAAAGAGAGAAAAGAAATGTATCTTGTTATTGTTGTTGATAATGATGATCAAATAGATAAATTTTTGTTTTTGTTTTGTATTGAACAGATAAGGATGAGAGAGAGAGAGAGCAAACAGAAAAAAATTCTAGCAGTTAGGGTTTGGTTTGGCTTGCTATTGCAATAGATATGGGTTGGTTTGGTTCTATATTTCAACAGAGAGAAAAAATAAAAATAAAATTAAACATGTAGGATTTTGACATATAGAATTTAGGGGAAAAAATTGAATAAATAATAAAATTTGGATAGAAAGGAGTAAAAATTAAACAAATAGTTAAAAAAATTAAATAGATAAAAAAATATTTAAACAAATAGTCAAAAAAAATTGAATAGATAGTCAAAAAATTTGAACAGATAAATATAAATTTGAACAAATAGAAAATAATTTGAACAGGTAGATATAAATTTGAACAAATAGTCACAAAAAAAAAATCAACATATTAATTTAGGAGTAAAATTGAAAATAAAATGTCCTCCAGAATCAACAAAAGGACTTCTCACTAAATTATTTCACAAGAACAGACCTCTCACCAACAAAAAATATCCACCTAATACCTTATACCCTCCTCAGATTGGATTTATCACCAATTTTCTCATTTATTTTTTATTTTTTATTTTTATTTTTTATATTTAGAGAGAGTTTTGGGAATGTTTTAACAAATAGTCACAAAAAAAAAAATCAACATATTAATTTAGGAGTAAAATTGAAAATAAAATGTCCTCCAGAATCAACAAAAGGACTTCTCACTAAATTATTTCACAAGAACAGACCTCTCACCAACAAAAAATATCCACCTAATACCTTATACCCTCCCCAGATTGGATTTATCACCAATTTTCTCATTTATTTTTTATTTTTTATTTTTAGTTTTTATATTTAGAGAGAGTTTTGGGAATGTTTTGAAACTTTTACTTTTAGTGAAAATTTACTAGATAATCATAATAATGTTATGAAAACCCTATTAACATAACTAAATAGACATGGTAGAATTTTTCAAAGTATGAAAAGTAAAATTGTCTTTTAATAATTTTGTAATATTCCTAATTTTTTTTATGGAGAAGTATTTTTAGGAAAATCAAATATTTACAAAATAATATTATTTATAACCCATTGTGGCTATGAATAATGAAAACAATTTATTTATTTAGACTCTATAGCTAAAAGCAATTACATATGGCATGCAAATTATTATTTATTTATTTTTGTGTGTGTGTATGCACATTTTCACTCCCCCCCCCCAAAAAAAACAAAAAAGAAGTGTTGGAATTCATGAAAGATGAGATTTTACAATTTTTAAGGAATTTTACAACAATGCCAAATTAGTTGGAGGTTTAAATTCTTCATTTATCGCTCTTATTCCTAAAAATGACAATCTCGGTATAAACCAATTGGTCTGATTGGGTCTATCTACAAAATTCTAGCTTAAGTCTTATCCTCAAGGTTCTTCCATCTGTTATAAGCGAAGCATAATCGGCATTTTTGGACGGGCATAACATTCTTGATGGTATCTTGATTGCTAATGAAGTAGTGCACAACAGTGTCAATGGGGATTTCTTATTTGATCTAATGAGGAAATTCGGGTTCGGACATGTGTGTCTACTGCAAGGATTTCTTTCTTAGTAAGTGGGAGCCCAAAGTCATAATTTAATTCAGAGAAGGGATTGAGGCAAGGTGATCCATTATCTCCTTTTCTTTTTAACATAATTGTTAAGGGTTTAAATATTCTCATCATGCGAGCAAGGGGATTATGGTTGTTAAAGGGTACAATTGTCGGTAAAGAAGTGTGTGAGTGATTTTCCGATCACACTGCCCGCTTTAGTATTCAGCTGGAGAGCACTGGCAGAATAGATGACACCTGGCTAACCTGTAACAGAAAGAGAAGATTCCGGCAGTGGTTCATCCACCCGGGAGCACTCCGACGATCAAGTCAGTATATCTCTCAAAGATAATCAATGGTGCTTAACTCACTAGACAGAATATAAATTTCGTACCTTAGACCCATGGGGGTGCCTCTCTTTTATAGTTACCTCAATCATAATCCCAATAGAAGCCTGACTTCTATGGGTTCCTGTTTAATACTTACTTTGGACTCCTCAAGAGATAAAGATAAACTCCCTAAGAGTTTTATCCTTATCTTGGCTAAGTCTCTTCTTTATTATAGGACTCTTGTCCCTTATCCTTATCCGCTTATCTCGGATTTCGATATCTTCGGAGATAACCTTGGCCTAACCAAGATGACCTCGGCATATTGACCAGGACACGTGGCACCTCGTCTGACACGTCGGCGTCACCTTGCCACGTGTTGGTACTCAAAAATATATCCCCATAACTGCCCCCTAGGTTCTGTTACCTCGGTATTCTGAAGTGATAGAACCTATATCATTCCTTCCTTCCAGTATGTCGGTTTACAGTATCTTAGCCGAGATCATTATGTTGGTCGACATGTCTTTAAAGAACAAGAACTTCAAGAACCCTTTCACGCGTATGAGCTGTCATACACTACAATTCAACTATTTCAGCTACGTGTCCCTTTCTTATTGGATTGTACTTGGCACGTGCTTCATAATCGTCTCGCACATACGTGAGCCATCTAACGCTCACGTTGTCCCAGGCGCATTAATTGCCCTCTTTTGTCGTCGTTTCAAGTTTTTAACAAAACTTGTTTCCTTCTTCTTTCGTGTTCTTCACTTTTACATTGATTCATTTGCTTTTTCTCTCTCTTTCTTGCTTTACCCTTCGAAATCCTCCATTACTCAAGCTTCCAAAGTTCTGCAGCCACCGGCGTTTGCTTTCTTCGATTAGGTTCGTGTTGATTCTCTAGTCCGCCACTGTCATCTGACCTCGGCAACATTCAACACCGGCTTCGTTCTTCATCTGGTAATACACTATCCCTTCTTATTGCAGTTTCTTAATTTTTTTCTTGAACTTGTTGCCATTACTGCTTTGCTTAAGCATTCGATCTTGTGAATCATACATCTGAATATGTTTTGTCCATGATTTGGCCCTTGCCCATATCTTGAACACACGCACTGCTTCACCACTTCCTTGTACTTTTGCCACTGATCTTGGCCGTATACTTCTTGTATTCTTTATGCTCTTGATAGACCATCTCTGTTCTTAATTCTGAAACTCCGTTCTTGTTTTCTGTTTTTTGTGTTTTTTCCAGATCTGTGCCTTCAGTCTTTGTTTTCATAGATTTAGGTTTGGGATTTGTCTGTAGAACCCAGAATTTAGGGTAAAAACTGGAATATCCCTTACAAATTTTTGCACCAGCTCAAACCTAGGTTTTTTACCGAGGTCCCAATAACCCTTTTTTGATACATCTTCTTTTTGAAATCCAATACCTTTAGTTATCCCGATATCATGGGTATGTGAAAACATCGGGTAGATACCCCCTCCAAGCTAGAATTTTTTAGGCAAGAGTTTGAAATCCCAACCGACGTTCACCCTTAATGGCTGCAGCTTGTTTGTCACGAACCTGGCCACAAACATCTCGGCCAGGCCTTCCCAAGTCTTTACGCTTCCCTTCGATAGTTTGTGGAACCAATCTGATACAATCTCCCCGAAAGATGAGGGGAACACTTTGCAGAGCAACGGCTCATTCCCACTATACAATGCCATTGAGTTCAAATATAGTCCAACGTGGAAGTTAGGGTCTGACTTACCATCGTATATTTGAAACCTCGGCATACTGAATCGCTTCGGTGCCTCAAATCTGTCTAATTCCACCGAGAATGGTGTCTTCGGCTTATCTGGGGAGGTTACCTCGGCTTCGGCATTTTGCTGCTTCCTCTTGAGGTAATCTCTTAAATCTTCTTTGCTTTGCCCAGGAGCTCGGCTATCTTTCGACTTCAGTCTTTTCGGTATACTACTCTCGGCCACGTGGTGAGCCCTTTTCGACCTTTCTCCATGAGTTGTGTCGAAGCACAGTGCCTGCTCTTGAACATGCCAATGTCCTTTAGGGTCTGCCTCTTTTGTGCGATGCGTCCTCCGTGATTCTTCTCTTCTTGATTCTCTTCGTCCGACTTCCCGAGAAGGTCGGTGAGAGTATCTTTCGCTCC